CTCCCCATGATTACTGTTTAGTGTTTTATTTGTTTAATTATCGTTATATTTAGCAACTGTACTTTGAAAATGTATAAAGACCGATATAAATTCATTTTATTCTGCTTTAGATACTGAAGATGGAATCTGATAGAATTCCGAAACATTTATCCATGTCCCCTTTTTGTCAATAAACAATGTTGTATATCATAAGTGTCGTAATCTTGTTTATAATCAAACTTCGTTTTCCTTCGAACACATCGATTGCTAATCCTTAATAAGATTTTAAATGCCTTGTTACTTTATCTAGACTGCATGTATTACACACATATACACATCTAAATATATCACAGCTTTACATGGATAAGAAGAATATAGTAAAATAACTGGAAATATGATATACATGCAGAAGTTGGTTAAATAGTAACTGCAAAGCAACAATTTTCACATTAAAAAATACATTTTCAAGAACAATAACAACAAGAACTAAAATTAGCATTTGTGGCTTACCTCACAACCTATATAAAGATTAAGCAGCATTATGGCAAGATTGTAGAACACCAAAATCCATTTGAGCTCAAAAGGTTGTCGACTGACCATCAATTGAGGGCCCAACCACACACAAGAAAGGTACAGTAAGATAAGGGCAATAGTTGGAAGAGGGGAACTCATGAGAGGCCAATCACCAACACGATGGTCTGTAGTTAATTGGAAGGAGGGATGAAGCCTGTTAGTTTGATTAACTTTTATAGTGACAGTAGGAGGAAGAACATAAAATTACCAACCTAGTACTAAACTTATGATTCTTACTTTCAACTAATGGAAAGGTGCTTTAATGTTTCAAAATGTACAAGTTTAAAAATACATTTTTTTTTAAATTCTCTACAGTGCTTAAAAAAACAGTTAAATTAATAGTAGGAATAATCACTAGTGCTTTAATTTACTGAAACCCCATAAAACTGATGAGACAAAATTTTTGTCAAACAGCAGTGAAAGTAAATCGAGTAATGGATACAGACAAATTAACATAATTTATTTTGTTCTATAATGATTTAACTTTATCTACCATTAATAACCTTGATCATCATCCTTCACCTAGGAAAGATGTGATGATATTTGCATTCATAAAACATTTGAAAATGTAGTAATAGTTAACCAAAATAACAAAATAATTATCCTAAAACAACGTATTGGCAAATCATATCCTTTTCTACATCTTTTGAAAGACAGTGTCAAGATATTAATGTAAAACTGTTTGAAAGGTTGCTAAGTTTAATTTTTAGTGATTTATTATTTGTTTAGCTTTTTTGCTAAGCAAAAATCTATGCAATGGGCTATCTGTACCATGTCCACTGCAGAGACTGAATATTGAAATTTAGTGTTACAAGCCTTCAAATTTACTGCTGAGCCACCAAGACCATTTTTTTAGAAATATTTAATAACAATCTTTACATCAAAAGTTCTTTACTTCAATAATTGTTGATTGTGCATTATAAAGAATTAAGTTATTTTAACATTTCATGCAACTTCTCCTCTAATCAAACTAATTCTTAAAATCTTTCAACAAATTGTGCATTATAAAGAATAAAATTATTTTGATATTTCACAGAACTTCTCCTCTAATCAAACTAATTCTTAAAATCTTTCAACAAATTGTGCATTATAAAGAATAAAATTATTTTGATATTTCACAGAACTTCTCCTCTAATCAAACTAATTCTTAAAATCTTTCAACAAATTGTGCATTATAAAGAATAAAATTATTTTGATATTTCACAGAACTTGTCTTCTAATCAAACTAATTCTTAAAATCTTTCAACAAATTGGGCATTATAAAGAATAAAATTATTTTGATATTTCACAAAATTTGTCTTCTAATCAAACTAATTCTTAAAATCTTTCAACAAATTGGGCATTATAAAGAATAAAATTATTTTGATATTTCACAAAATTTGTCTTCTAATCAAACTAATTCTTAAAATCTTT